ATAGTTTCTCATTCAATCTTTTCTAAAAATGAAATTGTTGAAAAGTAAGAAAATGATTTCCTTAGTTTTTTTTACTTAGTAAACTATTTCCCACATCTGTAAGCCCTTCAGTGCATGATGTTTCCAAAAAGCCTTCGGGAGCTTTTTGATGTTTTCAAAACCTTCGGGTCATCTGTAAGCCCTTCAGTGCATGATGTTTCCAAAAAGCCTTCGGGAGCTTTTTGATGTTTTCAAAACCTTCGGGTCATCTGTAAGCCCTTCAGTGCATGATGTTTCCAAAAAGCCTTCGGGAGCTTTTTGATGTTTTCAAAACCTTCGGGTCATCTGTAAGCCCTTCAGTGCATGATGTTTCCAAAAAGCCTTCGGGAGCTTTTTGATGTTTTCAAAACCTTCGGGTCATCTTTAAGCCCTTCAGTGCATGATGTTTCCAAAAAGCCTTCGGTAGCTTTTTGATGTTTTCAAAGCCTTCGGGTCATCTGTAAGTCCTTCAGTGCATGATGTTTCCAAAAAGCCTTCGGGATCTTTTTGATGTTTTCAAAGCCTTAGGGTCATCTGTAAGCCCTTCAGTGCATGATGTTTCCAAAAAGCCTTCGGGAGCTTTTTGATGTTTTCAAAGCCTTCGGGTCATCTGTAAGCCCTTCAGTGCATGATGTTTCCAAAAAGCCTTCGGAAGCTTTTTGATGTTTTCAAAGCCTTCGGGTCATCTGTAAGCCCTTCAGTGCATGATGTTTCCAAAAAGCCTTCGGGAGCTTTTTGATGTTTTCAAAGCCTTCGGGTCATCTGTAAGCCCTTCAGTGCATGATGTTTCCAAAAAGCCTTCGGGAGCTTTTTGATGTTTTCAAAGCCTTCGGGTCATCTGTAAGCCCTTCAGTGCATGATGTTTCCAAAAAGCCTTCGGGAGCTTTTTGATGTTTTCAAAGCCTTCGGGTCATCTGTAAGCCCTTCAGTGCATGATGTTTCCAAAAAGCCTTCGGGAGCTTTTTGATGTTTTCAAAGCCTTCGGGTCATCTGTAAGTCCTGCAGTGCATGATGTTTTTAAGACCTCTGGAATGATGTTTTCAACATTTCAGTCTTACTTAAAAGAAGTCAAATGAAAAATTATTGTTTTTTCGTCTTTGCTCTATTCTTGTTAACACAAGAATGAGCAAAGAGGGGCAACTGTAAACACTAATTTTTCATTTTACTTAAATTATTATTATTAAAATTATTATTATTATTATTATTATAAATATTATTATTATATTATATATATTATATTATTATTAAATATATTATTACAAGCCTAAATAATCAGGCCCATTTTATAAGCCCAAACCCTAAACCCAATTAGGGTTTTCATCATCTCAGCTTACAGCCACCAATGATCTCAGCCGTTGGATCTGGTCTGATCCAACGATCCACAGCTTTCAAGATAAAACCCTAGGGTGATGATACCCTAGGGACACGTCCCAGCCTCCGCCTCTGCTTCCAGAAGACTCCACCGCCACACCAACGTCTCAGCTTCAGCCACGCCCGTTGAAGACTCCAGAAGTGCGCCCTATGGTGAGTCACCACCATAGTCCGGTGACTCACCAAAGGTCACCCCTTTGTGACCGGTCCGAGATGAACCTCATGGTGGCTATAAAAGCCACTGGTTCCCTGCAAACAAAAAAAAAAGGGGGGAGCAACCAAGATACAGAAACAGAGAGCAGAGAAAAACAAAAGAAAAAAAAACAGAAAGAAAGAAGAAAAAAAAACGAAAGAAAAGAAAAACTACCAACGATCCCAGTCAACGACGAACCAGTATAAAAAAAAGGGTAAAGAAAAGAGAAGAAAAGAGAGAGCTTACTTTGTCATCGGAGGCACTCGAAACATCACCAGAAACCTTCGGATTTCGAAGGTAAAATCCTAGATCTAGGAATTTCTAAGGATTTTTAGGATAAATAGAGGTTGTATTCGACCTCAAGACGTTTAGATCTACGCTTTGGGGGTATTTTTATAAATTTCGGCCACCGTTTACGGTGGCCTATGGCTACCGGTTTCCCTCCGGCGAGGGAAATTAGAGAGAAACCAGAGAGAACTCTGGTTCTCTCATTTTGAGAGAGAAAGGAAAGAGGCAAATGGGAAGCTTGGCCCTTCGGGCCAGGCGTTTAGGGTATTTAAAACCCTCCCCAAACGACGTCGTTTTGGAGAGGGTATCTGTGTAATTTAAGAAAGGGTAAACCCTTTCCGCAATCCTTATAGGTCTGTAACTTTACAATTTAGTCACTGAAATTGATTTTTAATCATTTTAATTCGTTTTATAATTTTATTTAATTTATAATTTAATCCTTGCCTGCTTATATAATATTTAGGGTAAATACCCATTTTAGTCATTATCAGTTTATATATCTTTAGGATAAATAATAAATTTAGTCCCTTATGTTTTAATAATTATTATTTTAGTCACTAAATTAATAAATACATAAAATAGCATGTTTAGCCACTGCAATATTAAATAATTAATTACGAATTAGAGTATTTAATTTCAATATGTTATAATTTAGTCACTAATTTTAATACTTTTATTTAATTACAAGTTTTATTACTTTTTATATTTAGTTTTAATTTTATTTTAATTATAGTTTAAATATATTTTAATTTTATATGTTTAATATTTTAATTAGTATTATTATTTTATTTTTATTAATATATATTATTTGATTAATTTTATAAATTAATAATGTTTATTTATTTTTAATATCGAAGAAAAGGACAGTCTTGATATAACTGGATGTCCTATTCTGGTATTTTAAATAATTAAATATTATAATTTAATTTTACTTAAATTATTTTACTTTTAAATTTTTACATTTTTAGTTATTTATTTATCAATATCAAAGAAAAGAGTTGTCTTAAGGCACCTAGAAGCCATTTTCTGATATTTTTAAATAAATAAATATCTTATTAAAATAAATTTTTATTTTAAGAAAATCTTTTGATTATTTATTTATTTATTAATATCAAAGAAAAGAGCTGTCTTAAAGCACCTAGAAGTCATTTTCTAATATTTTTAAATAAGTAAATATCTTATTTATATATTAATATATTTTCTTAAAATTATTTGAAATAAAAGGACTATGAATTAAATATATTATTGAATTTTTAAATTTCTAATAATAGAGACAATTTATAATTAAAAAAAAGTACTAATTTTGGGCGTTGTAGGGGTGCTAATCCTTCCCTAAACGTAACCGACCACGAATCCCTTTTTATTATTAAAAAGAACGAATTTTTGGTTATAAACGCAGATCAGATCATCTTTTAACTGATGTTTTCTTAAAAACTCTTTTAAAAGATAATTTTTAGGTATTCGACCTACCTGACCCAAAAGGCCGATGGCGACTCCCAAATTATTTTAAAAACCATTTATTCACATCACTTTTCCCACCAAGTAAAAAAAATTCGTGCCCGGACGAAAATCGGTTACGACACTACCTCCACCGCATTAGAGATGCCACTCCTCTGGCAACATGCAACATATGCAACTGCCCCAGGACGGGCTGCCTGGTAATCTAATTCCTTAGCCCATTCTTCTTCGAAACGAGAATCCACCATTGCTAACTCAGCAACTAAAACCCACGAGCCTTCACCTGCACTCAAGCCATCTTTGAGCTCTCTGATGTCTTGATGAACATCCTCCAAATGAGCGTAATCCAGAATAGCAAGGGGAGTCTCTCCAGCGCATATCTCCAGCTCAAGAGATTTATTTGGCGAGACATCCACATGCTCACCTTCCATTGAAACCGGGTAAGCACCTACTTCTTCAAACACCAAAGAATCTACCCAGAAAGAATCAGGATTGAAACAAGGTTCAAACTCTGAAACAATGACTGTAAAAGACCTATCCCCGACTTGCAGATCAACAGATTCCTCTACTCGAGCTTGATGATTCGTAATAACCTAAAACAACGCCCTATCAAAAGAGCCAGGATTTAACATCCCTTCCTCTATGGAAATAAGCTCACCCTATTTTCTTGCAATGTTTCTGAAAGTTAAAGAACCCCAGACAAACGGTGGGATCCCTTTACACGATAACCATGCTCGTCTACTGCAGCATCGCATATTTTTCGACCACACTTCCATTTTGACAAAACAAGTTTGCAGCGCCTCAATCTAGTTTTTAAGCGTAAAATTCAGACTATCTTTGTCTTCAAAAATGATAAGAATAGCTAATCCGCTTAATCTCATTAATCTCGGACTCAAAATGCCAGCTTTATGCAAGATAGCAGCAAGCTCCTTCATCTTAATAAATTTACTGCACCAACCAACCAAACTATCATTCAGAGAACAAAGCTTATCCTCATCAATAACACCAACAATGGGAACCTCATCCGCAACCTCCACTCTACTCTTAGCCACACCTGGTTTTGACACAGAAGATTTTTTCCTCCAGAAAGCTTCACGTGGATGATATCTTGCCATAAAACTCTAACTATGTTGCCTTGAATCCTAGATCTATCAGCGTGAAGGATAGCCTTCCTCGCATCCTCCAATCTGGCAAAACGAACAAAACCAAACCTACTTCCTCCTTACTTCTTTTATTAGGAATGAAAGAATCAACCACCTCACCATAATTATCGAAAATAAGCCAAAGACCATGATGATGAAGAAATTCTGGAATGTTGAAGATAATAATCGTAACACAATCTTTCCCCATTTACTTTTTAGTGCTGTTTTAGAACACGTATACAAATTTTAGCATTAGAATACACACTTCAAATTCTATAAAGATCTATATACTATAACATTAAATGCACCTTAAAATAAAGACGATTCAAACTTCGAAGTCTTAATTAGTCATAAAATCAGCTCACCTAACTTGGGACAGCTCTACAAATTCACCAACTTTTCTTACCAAAAATAAATAAATCATTAAGAGAAGTTCAACCAAACAGCAACTTCTCGTTATTGGAATTGTCCTAAAACCTGACATTGGTACTGCTATAAGAAAACGAGCTTCTTTTTTCTCTTCACCTCATTGTAAATCCATCTTCAAGTTCAACAATGCCATTTTCTTTCTTTCATCTTCTTTTCTGCATTACCGTAATATTTTCTGGTGATTGCGATAACATGCCCTTTCTTTTGTATCTATATATATGTTGTTTCAAGTTCTTTACTAATTTCTGCAATGTTGGCTTTCATGAGTTGTAGAAGTCCATGCAGTACATGAGCAGCACTTTCAGCATGCTTCGAAATCGGAATCTAAGTCTAACGTAACGCTTTTCGTGTTCGGGGACTCGTACGTAGACACCGGTAATTGGAGAAAATCCGTCGGAGGTTCGTGGAAGGAGCCATACGGCATCACTTTTCCCGGCAAACCATCAGGCCGGTTCTCGGATGGTCGAGTCCTCACTGATTACATAGGTTTGATCATTTCCCATACTACAGTATATGCATTCATTTTTTTTAACAATTTCATAATTCCATTGCTATTATAAGAAAAAGGGTATGAGAATATTAATGATTGAAACATTTGAGCAATGGTGGCAGCATCATATTTGGGGACAATAACTCCAACAGCTTACCAATGGAGGAAAGGGGTGAAGAGATCAAATCTCAAATATGGTATGAATTTCGCATATGGTGGGACGGGAGTGCTGGATACACCGGTGAATCAACCCAACATGACCACCCAAATCGATTATTTTCAACGTTTGATTCGAGAAAAAGTGTACAAAAAGCAGGATCTCGACAACTCGGTGGCCATCGTCTCCGTCGCCGGCAATGACTATGCTGCTTATCTTGCTAGGAACGCCGATGATGATCTCCGGGTCAGTTAATTTAGATCTTTTATCGTTTAATCAACTGTGAATATTAGATATGGATATGATTAAATTTTTATAAATTTAATTTATATATTTAGAGAATTTTTTAAAATTATATCTTTATATTCCTATATCAAACATAACTATCAGATATACATAAGATTGCAGACTCCAAGTAATGAACCATTTTAACTGTGGGGGTTTATGGTAGGTTATCTTGTAAGCCTCCATTATATCTTGTAAGCCAAAGGATAAATAGAGTATTGTACGATCCCTATGACAAATCAATTATATCTTGTAAGACTCCATAAATTTATGAGGTTATATTTATTGAATAATTCATTAATCACATCATTAAGCATGCTTGACAAGTTGACATGTCCATGCTCCATATAACCTTAAAGACAAGCATATATCACATTAATTATGGTAACGTAACAACATTTATCATATAGCCTACAATGACACATTTACATGCCAACTTCATATAATTTAGGTTATGCATTTAATATATTCATAAAAAGGACTTGATTCACCTTTTATTACAAAGTAACTGAGAAATAAAATTTTATATATCTCCTGTGAGTAAATTTAGGTTATGCATTTAATATATACATAAAAGGGGACTTAAATGTCTCATACTTGGAAGTAGAGAAGAGTCTATGTGGGGATTATTATTGTTATATAATTATGATGGTGTTAATCATATTCGAAATAGGCTTGACAAGTCGGGATTAGAGTTAGTGCAGATTTATATCTTTGTTTGTGGCGTCTCTTCTGTATCTTTGATCACTATTATGTGCTCTTTTTATATGCTAAAAGTGAGTACATTAGTAATTTAAATCTATTATTTTTGTCTTCCACTTTTTATATAAATACACACACAAATCCAACTCTTAACCACAACCAGTTTATAAAAACTTGATATTCCTTTCCATTTGACAGAAATTGCCTGCCTTCACTAAAACGATAATGAAGCAGTTGGGCATAAACTTGGAAAGAATCCAAGGTTTAGGAGTGAAAAGAATAGCAGTTACACTGATTGAGCCAATGGGATGCGTACCTGTACAAGCTGCCTCTCTGTCGTATACAAATTGCAGTGAAGTTTTGAACATAGGATCAAAGTTGCACAACCAAATGCTGCAGCAAGCTCTCAAAAACTTGAATGATAAGACCAACTCAACACTTTTCGTCACCCTTGATCTCTACGATGCTTTCATTTCGGCTCTAAACAAGCTCACAAAGCGTGCATCAGGTACGATCTATATTCAGTATTCCTTTTACATTGAGCCAATGGATTGGATTTTGACATTTATGTTTTGGGTTTGATTGATCTTGCAGCAAGTTCAGGAATGAAGAATCCATTGAAGCCATGCTGTGACGGAAAAGAGAAGGGGAAATATTACTGTGGGAGTGTGGATGAGAGTGGGGCAAAGCAGTATAGTATTTGTGAGAACCCAAACTTGTCACTGTTTTGGGACACCGTCCATCCTTCGCAGAATGGTTGGCGTACAATTTTCTCCTCTCTACGATCTTCACTCCACAAACTCATCACCTAGTTAATTTTCTAAAGTATATCCATATATATACTTTTCTAAAGCATATTAATTTATGAGTAGATTTCGGGTCCATTTTTTTATTGAATCATTTTAATTATTTAAGTTTTACATGTGATAATATTGCTTTTTATTATTTGAGTTTTATATGTTCCGAGCCTCGTGTTCATTTATGGATAAAGTTTACAAATATTGCTTTGATGTGTAAGAGTCCCAATGGGTGAAACAATTTGGATCGATGATGGTAAAAGGATTGTTCTTAGGGATGACAATATTCTGAATGAACACAAGGCTTGGTCTAATACATGAGAAGATGGTCATCTAATGAATCTTAAATCAAAAAGGGAAGATTACCTGGTTGGTGTCTATGAAATATTTGGTCGGGTCAAGTTGTAAGCTTTCGCGGAAAATGAAATTGTAATGCTCCATGAGAGTTTTGACAAATGAACTTGATGTGTCAGCAAGCAATTGTTTAAAGTTTTTCTTAAACAAAATAAGTAATTAAATTATGTATTTTATCACAAAATTTAGAAATGATTAGTTTGGGACTAATTTGGGAACAATTTCTGAAGCACCTACCATTGGCATTTGATAAAAAAAAAACTGAAATTTGCACGAGCAGCATTACCTCTGAACTCTGATACTAAACTAGGCTTCTGAGTCAAATCCAATTTGACCAGTTCCTTTCCTTCTCTTATGATCGCTGTCAGTGTTATTGAATCTTCAATAGCTGGTGAGAATTAAGAAGTAAAAATCATTGAGACAGAAAGCAAGACTTGGACAAATGCATTACTGGGTTCGAGTTTCTGCTTCTGATTTCTCCGGAACTATTCCCCAGCCTCGAAGGTAAAGCTAAATCTATGTGTTTCCAAATTATTTTTGTTATAGAAGATTTACCTGATCGATTCTTGCATGGTTTCTCAGTGGTCACACCGCCGTTCCCATCGGAAAATCCAAGATTGTTGTGTTTGGTGGCCTTCTCGACAAGAAATTCCTTAATGACATCGCTGTTTATGACATCGTTATTTGGGTTTTTTCCCTTCTCTTTCATTCTTTGTTTTTATTGGGATTGTTCTTTGGTATTTGGTGAAAGTTCTTTTTTTTTTTATAAAAAAAAGACTTCATTGTCGCTCTGGGTTTAACTGTTTCGTTCAGCTGTAGCCTGCCTTAATTTTGATTGAGGCATGCGAAAATGCACTGGTTAAGCTCATTTTAAGAACCTTTGGTCAAATTTGTGTGATTTCATAGCTCGTTTTTTAACTGTATGAAAGCAAATACATAATTGCATTAAATAATGTGCTGAAATGATTGATTTATGTTTTGTTTTTGAATTAAGTGGTTTATTTCCTTATAAGTTGATGCAACTATTCTGCGAATGGTGTCAATGGGAAATTTCACATCTTTTCATAAATATATCTTAGTGATGTAGGCATAAATAACTATAAATACGTTAAACAAATAAACTTATATATCTTTGTGAGGTAGGCACAAGTAACTATAAATAATATGGATGATAACTAACAAAAGATCATACTTAGCATACTCATACATGTGGTAATTTCATAACATATAATCAACTTGGAACATGAACATAAGCATATATATAATATAGAATTATATTAACATTTGATCCATTGAAACATAAGTGTGACATATACACTAAATTTACTAGATTCAATGAAATGTCTCTTTAGACACCATCATCATATGCTAATTTCATTATTAGTAAAATGCTACAAACAAATGAAATTTCTTAACAATTCCTAAATATTACAAATAGAAGAAGAGAGAATAAATGTTACAATAATTTTGGGAACTTATTTATAGTTGAGTTTTAGGAATAACCTATTAATTTAAGGACCAAAATACCAATTATCCCTATGATAATCCACCCAGTTTATTTATCAACTGATATTTCACCCTCTAGCTGCCCTATCTCTGGTATTTGATAGTACGAGATTAATTGGGTTTGAAGTCAAAGTAGTCACCCATGTAAAACAAGTATATATCTAAAGAGAGAGCACCTGCATTTTCACTAAGAGTGCGTTTGGTTCACAGAATGTAAGATTATCAGTGGGAATGTAAGATTACCAGGAAATAGGATTACTGAGAATGTTGTATTTTGTGGTTGGTTAGTTTAGCATGAATGTAAGATTGTCGTGTTTGGTTAAAGGAATAAAAGATTATTGGAATGTATATTTGACCAAATTGTCCTTATTATATATTTGTTTTTTAACAAGTCAGAAAATATTTATATATTTTCTTTAAAAAAAATTAAATTCATAAAATTTATATATTTTTTTTACAAAATTGAAAATATAAAAAGGTTTAATCTAAGGGTAAAATTTTATTTTAACCCTTAAACTTCATATAAAATTTTAATTATAGATTTTTTTGTAAATCTAAAATAGTTTAAGGATAAATTTGTAATTTAACCTTCGAAGAATTTTTATTATTTAATGACAGAATAAGGATATTTTTGAGAAAAAAAATTAAGGGCATTTTAGTCCAAAACGTCGGTAATCCAGCAATACCTAAGGAAAGGAAGATAATGACATTCTCGGTAATATACCCTAAAAAATCTACTATTAATAATGTAAGATTACCGGTAATGACATTTCCGACCAACCAAACGGGGTAATGTGGATTCTATTCCCATGGGAATCTCACATTCCCCCAACCAAACACACCCTAAGAAACTAAGATTATCCTGGAACCATTGCTTGTAAGATTTAGCTTCTTTGCAAGCCTCTTCGATGCTCTGGTATTGGAGCCAAACGGCTCCGTTCCAAGCTTGAGAAGGAAGTGATCAAAGGTCCTCCACATTCGTTCTTGCTTGAGAAAAATTATTTAGACATCTAAAGTTAATTTAGAGTATAGTTTAAGTACTTATTTTTACATTATGCCTTTTTTTAACGAGTCTTAAAAAATAAGATAATTCAAATAGCATTTTAAATCTAAAAGACATAACAAATAAAAAATTATATAATAATTCGATAAAATATATATAATTTGAAAAAAAGATCGACTTTAAACTAATTTAAATTAAAAGGGTGATTATTATCACTTAAAATTTTAAATTTAAATACACCATTTATATGTATGTTTAAATATTTATTATGAAATAATTAAAATATCTCGAATTAATAACCAGTCAACTCTTATCATATCAATTATTGGCCACTACTATAGAAATCTCTCAATTCTCATAAATTCGTTGTCTATAATATATTAGATATTTGAAATCTCAAGACTTATGGCATCGTCATTAATTACAAAGACTGACAACTAATTAGAGCATTCTTCTTTTTCAAGACAATAGAATTCTATTTTAAATTACGAGATATGCTCTCGTATTTTATACAATCGTATTTTATACAATACAATTTTAGTGTATAAATTCATACTCACCATAAGTTGTATGTCAATATTTCTCAATTTCTTTTGTTTGTACGCGAAAGAGAGGAACACAACTGAGTAGGTGATATCACTTGTTCCTTCTCTCTTTCTCATTTTTGTCTTCCACCCATTACTCTTCCCTAAAAAAATATGGCATTTTAAGGGAAATTCTACGGTGATTCACCCTAATATACGGCTAAGGAAATGCACTACTAATTTTGTTATTATTTTTTTAATAAAATCGGTAAAAAAAATTATCTAACATTATTATTTCTAACTAAAATATTAATATTTTTTTAACAATTTCGGTAAAGTACTTAATAATAACAAAACCAGTAGAAAAAAATAATAAAATCGGTAGCACTTTACCGGATATGTTAATAAAACTGGTAAAGCGCCCAATAATAACAAAACCGGTAGAAATAATAATGTTTCCGATAATTTTTTACCGATTTTATTAAAAAAATAATAACAAAACTGGTAATATTTTTTAACCGTATATTAAGGTTGCGGCAAGTAAGTTTTTCTTGGCATTTTAATATGAAAAATGAGCAATTTTTATGAACTTTAGCATGTTGGGAAATAAACCCGAGTACAAGTAATTTCCCTATAACTAGATTAGTGAGAATGTGAAATAAAAGCGGAAAAATAATACCCGAAATTGATAACGGAGTTCAGCCAATTTTGCTTACGTCTCCGGACTGCTGTAGATCTTTTACTAGAGAAAAAATTTACAGGTGTTTACAAAACACTCACTAGAAAACTCTCTAATATTGGGAGAAAGAAATGATTTGGGATTTTGGGACGATTTTGAAGCTAAATGAGCTAGGGTATTTATAGTTGAAACTTAGGGATTAATCTTTGAAAATACCCTAAAGTTTAATGAATAAAAATAATTAACCCTTGCTTAAATTCAAAAATATGGGTTGCCTAACATTGAAATTTAAGGCAGCCCCCTACCTTTGAAATTCAAGCAGCCACCGGCTGTTATTATTTGACCAACAATCTCCCAGTTGAAGACTGATTTTAATCTGTCTTCACACCTTGATCAATGCAGTAGCATTTCTAGTCTTGTTATTCTAGCATGCCAACTGAAGTTGAACACAACTTCAGTTTGTCCATAGTCATCGTCTTTGTTAACATGTATGCTGGATTTTGAGCTCCACTGATCTTTTCAAGTTTCAAAATCCCATCTTCCAGAAGAGACCGGATAAAATGATATCACAATTGTATGTGCTTCATCCTGGAATGAAAAGACGGATTCTTCGCTAGATGGATAGCACTTTGATTGTCGCAATACAAGACATTGTTTTCTTGTTTCTTGCCTAACTCTTCCAAGAAACTTTGGAGCCATACCATCTCTTTGCTGGCTTCCGTAACAGTGACATATTCTGCTTCCGTTGTAGAGAGAGCAATTATCTTCTGTAGTTGAGAAACCCAACTCACTGCAGTTCCTCCTAGAGTATAGACATACCTTGTAGTGCTTCTTCTGATGTCGACATTTCCGGCTAAGTCAGCATCTACATAGCCTGTCAGTATCGTATCTCCACCTTTGAAACAAAGTGCTTTGTTTGTAGTACCTCGCAGATATCTGAGGATCCATTTGACTGTTTCCCAGTGTATCTTGCCCGGATTATTCATGTACCTGCTAACAGCTCCCACTGCTTGAGCAATATCTGGTCTGGTACAAACCATGGCATACATTAGACTTCCAATTGCTGAGGCATACGACACCTTCACCATGTGTGCACGTTCTTCCTCTGTTTTTTGTGACTGTTCTTTGGAGAGTCTAAAATGAACACCTAAAGGTGTACTTACTGGTTTAGCATCTTGCATGTTAAACCTGGAGAGTACTTTGTTGATGTACTCAGCCTGTGATAACATCAAAGTCCCCGACTTTGTGTTTCTCTTGATCCTCGTCCCAAGAATATGCTTTGCAGTGCCCAGATCCTTCATAGCGAATTGCTTCGACAATTTTTGCTTCAAGTTTATAATCTCTTGCATGTTTGAGCCTGCAACGAGCATGTCATCAACGTACAACAATAAAATAATGAAGCTATTATCGAACCTCTTGATGTAGTAACAATGATCTGCTTGACATCTGGTAAAACCACTACTACTCATGAAACTATCAAACTTCTTGTACCATTGTCTAGGAGCTTGTTTTAAACCATACAAGCTTTTCTTCAACCTGCATACTAGGTTTTTCTTGCCTGCCTCTATGAAGCCTTCTAGCTGCCTCATATAGATTTCTTCCTCCAAATCACCATGAAGGAAAGCTGTCTTTACATCTAACTGCTCAAGATGTAAATTCTCTGCAGCTACAATTTTCAACACCAGTCTAATTGTAGATAGCTTCACGACTGGAGAGAAAATTTTATTGTAGTCAATACCTTCTTTTTGTTGAAAGCCTTTGACAACCAATCTTACTTTGTAGCGTTTGCTCCCATCGTGCTCTTCTTTGATCCTGTAAAACCACTTGTTATGGAGTGCTTTCTTGCCTGGTGGTAATTCAGCTAATTCCCACGTCTAATTTGACATAAGCGAGTCCATCTCATCTTTCATAGAAGACTCCCACTTGACTGAATCCTCCACTTGCATTGCTTCATCATAGCACTCTGGTTCACCATTGTCAGTCAGCAACAAGTAGTGCAAAGAAGGAGAATACCGTTGGGTTGGTTTAGGAATTCTGGAGGAGCGTCTCAGTTCTGGTGTGACTGGTTCTTCTTGAACTGCTTCAGGACTGACCTGAACATCATTTCCATAAATCTCCTCGAACTCAGCGAATTCCTTTGTTTCAGCTTTGGTATTGGAGCTACTTGATTCTATGATTGCCCTGTCTTTGTACATCACATTCTCATTGAAAATAACATCTCTGCTTCTGATGATCTTCCGATTTTCATAGTCCCAAAATCGGTAACCAAACTCATCACCACCATAACCAACAAAGACACATTTATTGGACTTGGCATCAAGTTTACTTCTTTCAGCAGAATCTATGTGTATATAAGAAATACAACCAAACACTCTTAAGTGTGAAAGGTTTATTTCTTTCTTGCTCCAAACTTCCTCTGGTATTCTGCCATCCAAAGGAAATGAGGGCCCACGGTTGATCAGGTAAGCTACAGTGTTGATAGCTTCAGCCCATAGAAATTTGGGTAATCCGGCATGTATCCTCATGCTTCTGGCACGTTCATTCAGAGTTTTGTTCATGCGCTCTGCTACGCCATTTTGTTGCGGTGTCATGGGAATTGTTGTCTCCATATTGATCCCATTGTTTGCGCAGAAATATCTGAATCTACGATTTCTGTACTCTCCTCCATTGTCAGATCTCAACCGCTTGACTTTCAGACCAGTCTCATTTTCCACCATGGCCTTCCATTTTCTGAAGGTATCAAAGACTTCTGATTTCTTCTTCAGAAAATAAACCCACACCTTCCTTGTAGAATCATCGATGAAAGTGACATAATATAATGAGCCTGCAAGAGATGGAACTGGAGATAGTCCCCATACGTCAGTATGAACCAACTCTAACTTTTCTCCCTTGGGTGTCTTGCCAATCTTTGCAAAACTGACTTTCTTTTGTTTGCCAAAGATGTAATCCTCGCATAGTCCGACATCTACATTCTTTAGATCCGGCAGCTTCATTTTTTACAAAAGTGTCTTCATCCCTTTCTCGCTCATATGGTCAAGCCTTTGGTGCCATAGGTTTGATTTTCCATCAGCATCTGCTACTGCAATGATATTCTCTAAATTTGAGGTTACATAGAGAGTACCAGTCTTCTTAGTGCTCCTTTGGTAATCTTCCATTCACAGTCTGAAAAGGTTGTGCTATATCATTCTCCATCAAGCTGCCCTACAAAAATCAAATTCCTTTTAAGGCCAGGAATATGTCTCACTCCTTTCAGCATCCAGGTGGTCTGGTTTGGCAACTTTAATCGGATGTCTCCTTTTCCGACGATCTTCAAGTTTTCATCATCAGCTAGATGAACCTTCCCAAAATCACCACTGACATAGTTCTCCATGATTTCTCGGCATGGGGTGGAGTGGAAAGATGCTCCTGAATCCAAGATCCATGATTCAATCGGACTGTTGTCATGACATCACCTGTCTCCTCTGTCATGTTGGCAGATTCCTGTGCGTCGATATCTTTGTTTGGTGCTCGACAATCTCTTTTAAAGTGACCCTTCTTGTCACAATTATAACATGTATAATCTTTCTTTCCCGTTCTGGATTTGGATCTGCCACGATTTGAATTTCTTTCTGAAGTTCTCCCTATAGACTCCATGTGCAAAGCTGTGGAGGTTGATGCTTCACCAGATTCTCTCCGTCGAATTTCTTCGCTCAATACCAGATCTCGAACATCGTCGAATTTCAATTTGCTATTTCTCGACGAGCTGCTGACTGCTGTAACAGTAGCATTCCAACTGTCTGGTAGAGATGATAAGAGAATTAAAGCTCGAACTTCATCATCGAATTCAATTTCCACGCAACTCAATTGGGTTGTGATTGTGTTGAGTTCATTTAGGTGTTGTGCCATCGATGGCCCTTCCGCCATCCGCAAATTGAATAATCGCTTCATCAAATGAACTTTGTTTGAGGCCGATGGCTTCCCATACATACTGGAGATAGCCTCCATAAGAACCGTCGTGGTTTTTTCCTTTGCTATGTTGAAAGCAACATTGCGGGATAACATCAGTCGGATAACTCCGAGGGCTTGTCTGTCGAGAAGAGCCCAGTCTTCATTCTTCATGCCCTCTGGTTGCTTTTCTGACAGAGGTTGATATAGATTTTTCTGGTACAGAAAATCTTCAATCTGCATCTTCCAAAAGCCAAAGTCCGCACCATCGAACTTTTCAATTTTCACCTTCCCTTCGTCTGCAGCCATCGCTCCCACTCGAATCTGGCTTCTTTGGATCGTTCTGACAATTTTCGCGAACCGCCGTGTATTAGAACACCTCCGGCGACAAATTCGTATCGCCAACAAAATTTTACTATTCACGAGAATAGTAACCTCGCAAAAAATTGACAAAATTCACAACCAAAAGCTCTGATTACCAGTTGTTGGGAAATAAACCCGAGTACAAGTAATTTCCCTATAACCAGATTAGTGAGAATGCAAAATAAAAGCGGAAAAATAATACCCGAAATTGATAACGGAGTTCAGCCAATTTTGCTTACGTCTCCGGACTGCTGCAGATCTTTTACTAGAGAGAAAATTTACAGGTGTTTACAAAACACTCACTACTCACTAGAAAACTCTCTAATATTGGGAGAAAGAAATGATTTGGGATTTTGGGATGATTTTGAAGCTAAATAAGCTAGGGTATTTATAGTTGAAACTTAGGGACTAATCTTTGAAAATATCCTAAAGTTTAATGACTAAAAATAATTAACCCTTACTTAAACTCAAAAATATGGGCTGCCTAAATTTGAAATTTAAGGCAGCCCCCTTACCTTTGAAATTCAAGTAGCCACCGGCTGCTATTATTTGACCAACATAGCAATCATCGAGGAGTGGAAGCTTCGAGAAAAGCTTCATGAAAGGTGATGTGAAGCTACTTAGGAGGTTTTGAGAAGGTTTAGACATGAAGGTTGTTTCAACCTAATTTCATTGTATTTTATGATTCTAGATTCGTGTTATTACTTCATCTAATATTGTGTTTGATTATCTATCACACCCCAATTTGGGGGTTAATTTTTTTTCTTCTTAATTTTATTCTGGGGACTAGATTGAAAATTTGGTTTAATTTACTAAATTCGAACCCAAATTAGAAAGTAAACAAAATCCCAAGGACCTATGTCATAATTTCCCCTTTTCCTTATTTGGACGGGTTTAAGACCCCAAAATCAGCAGGTAAAATAATTTTGGGAACTTATTTATAGTTGAGTTTTAGGAATAACCTAAGGACCAAAATACCAATTATCCCTATGATAATTCACCCAATTTATTATCAACTGACAAAGACCTATCTTTAATATTCTTCAATTATTTGCAGATTAGGTGCAACCATCTCTGGTATTGGATAGTACGAAATTAATAGGGTTTGAAGTAACTCGCCCTATATATCTAAAGAGAGAGTACTTGCATTTTCACTAAGAAGCTAAGATTATCATGGAACCACTGCTTATCAATGTCTTGCTTACTATTTTATTGCTTGTAAGCTTTAGCTTCCTTGCAAGCCTCTTCAATGCTCTGGTATTGGAGCCAAAACGGCTTCGTTCAAAGCTTGAGAAGGAAGGGATCAAAGGTCCTCCACATTCCTTCTTGCTTGGGAATATGTGGGACTTGTTGAGCCTTAAATTTAAGAACTCAAAGAGGCCTCAACAAGGACAGCAAATTTTAACACACAACTGTGCTGCTTTTGTGTTTCCATTTCTGGTTAAATGGAGAAATCAGTACGGTATGCGTTTTTGCCATTTTAGTATGCTGTTTAGGGTTATCTTTATGTGAATATACCTTATCCAATACTTTCAATGAACTGCTTAAATTTCTTTAGAGATCATGGATGGATCGAAGGAGAAAATTTAATTTTTTTTATATATTTTAGATATTATATTTATATTTTCTATTGATAACATGTTTTCGTCTCATATATTTGTTTGGACAGGTCCGTCATTTGTGTTCTCGCTTGGGAACTTACAGATATTGCACATGAACCACCCGAATGCATTGAAGGAATTGAGCACATGCACTTCATTTGAGTTGGGAAGACCAACCCATCATCATTACGATGCTATGTTGGGTGAAGGCATTATTGCGTCCAGCGGTCGTGTATGGGCACGTCAAAGGAAAATCCTTGCTCCTGAATTATTCGTGGACAAGGTCAAGGTATAAGCTTACAACACCGATAGTATCATGCTTAGGGTTGTCGAGCTAAAGTATTATTGAGTTCGATTTGAAAATTTTAAAAATAAGTTCGATTTGATTCTAAAACTCGCGAGTTTAAAATTGTTGAAATTGACTCAAACTCAAAATTAAAAACTAAAGCTCGACCCAACTCGAAAGTTTGTAATCTTAAAATTTTCAAGCTCCATTTGGAATAAAAAATTGAAGGACTCAAACCCAAACTTTAAGCACATGATAGCCTTATATTATGAATTTTAAAAAAAACTATATACAAATATTAATATTATTGATATTTTTTGAAATGAATTATTTGTCTAGCTCAGTTGATAGAGCACAAGGTTCTTAACCTTGTGGTCGTGGGATCAAATCCCACTGAGGGCAATTCATAACGGAGGTCTTCCACGGAAGTTACTCTCAATCTGGCGTTGGGGGCAGTCTACTACCCTACCTCCCCCTTACCCCATTACATATGGGAATAGGGTCAACTAATTTAATTTAATTTAAATTTTGAAAAATAATATGTATTGTTTACATTCGACAATACATGATTTTTTTTAGAAAATGTTTCGGTAAAAGTATGTAGAATATAATATTATTGGAAAATTAATTTTATAAATATTTTTAAAATTGTCGAAAATATTTTTAAAAATAAATGAATAAAATACTTGTTATGATTGTAAGGGTACTCGTGAAATCATTTTACTGATAGGACATTAAATGATTATATTATATATATATGTTAATTTTTAGGTACTTTAATGAAAAATATTTACTCATTTTCAGTTATTTTTGAAAAATCTACTTTTAAGTCAAATTAGCAATACTACGGTTTACAGAGTTTAAATAATTTTTTTTTAAAATAGTGTGAGGTAATTCTAAGATAATATTTATTTAAATTTTTAGTTTATTGATAATGTATATAAACCTTACGAATATAATTATTCAAACTCAAATTTTATAAAAAAATATTATTTCCTCTCGCTAGAAGCCTAAAACCACCGAAGAAATTTGGAATTAAAATATTATTAACATTTTATTAATAAATAAGTTAAATAATGTTTTAATATTTATCTCTATGTTTCTGTTTGAAAAGATGAGAAAATAATATTTTATTAGTAGTTACACCAGAATTAATTTTTTTAATAAAAAAAGCTTTTATCACCATACTATAAAATTCCAATATTTGAATAGTTTAAATTTAACAATAATATTTATAAAAAAACAATAATATTTATATTATTACGTTAATATTAAAAGCAAAATATTATTATTCAAAGTATTATTTTAATATAAATATCCTTTTACATTAATAATTTTAAGATTTTAAAACTCTTAAAACATTATATTAACTATTATATATTATTTTTATTAATATTTATACCATAGAAATATTGATATGTTTATATTATGGTACATATATTCTTAAATTTTTATAAATTATAATCTATACATTTTCTAAAAATATCAATCAAGACCCTTTACAACGATATCATTTACTCATTGACTGCCACATCAAACAAATTAACAATTTAATCAATATAGAAGCCATCAATGACCAAAATTATGGATAAGATACGTCAATTAACAATTTAATCAAGGCTTATAGAATCATGTTTGAATGTTGGTACCTATATTTATTTATTTATGCATTTATGAAATAAATAATTAATATTAAGCGGTGTGCAGGGAATGCGAAAATTAATGGAGGAGTCGGCATTTATGGTTGCCAATGCATTGAATGAAAAGATCGAGAAAGGAGGAGGAGTTGCAGAGCTAAAGATCGATGATTATACAAGAAGCTTTGCAGGAGATGTTCTCTTAAAAGCTTGCTTTGGAACCAATTATGCTCAAGGCAAAGAAATTTTCCTTAAGCTTAGAGATTTACAGGACGTTTTGGCTCCGGTTCTTTTGCTCCAATGGATACCAGGAATGAGGTTTGTTCTTTTCCTTCTAGTGGATCCATAAATGTTCTTTCAGTCCAACATACATGTATTAATGATATAAAATTTTTGTATACCAAGAATCTTATCAAACATGCACTGGGTTGAAAATATGCAGATACCTGCCAACAAAGAGCAACAGGAGAATTTGGAGACTGGAGAAGGAAATCAAGGCTTTAATCTTGAAGGTGGTGAAGGAAAGAGAGGAAGCAAAATCAAATCCGGAGAAGGATCTCTTACAAATTATCGTTGAAAGTGCAGAAAGAAGTGATTTAGGGCAGCAGACCGACAGCTTCATCGTCGACAATTGCAAGAACATATACTTCGCCGGCTATGAGACCACCTCAGTGTCCGCGGCGTGGACGTTGATGTTATTGGCCCTTTATCCCGAGTGGCAAGACAAAGTTCGTGCTGAGATTCTTGAAAATTGTGGAGGTTTGTTGCCGGATGCCGACACGCTCCGCAGGATGAAAACTGTAAGTATCCTATGCATTCAAGTTCAACAATCCTAAGCCCTAAACTCTAAACCTTAAACCTATGACAGTTAGCAATGGTGATCAACGAGTCGCTCCGCCTATACTCGCCGGCAGCCATTGTACCTAGGGAAGCACTGGGGGACGTGAAATTCGGAGGCATTAACGTTCCCAAAGGAGTTGGTGTTTTTGTATCACTGATAACGCTGCACCTAGACCCGGATCTATGGGGTCCCGACGCCGACAAGTTCATCCCAGAAAGGTTTGCCGATGGGATTAGTGGGGCATGCAAGGTTCCATATGCTTACATGCCGTTTGGTGCAGGGCCTCATACGTGCATAGGACAACACTTCGCCATGATGGAGCTCAAAATATTTCTCGTTCATATGCTATCCAACTTTGCATTCACTCTTTCACCAAAATATATACATTCTCCCTTCATGAATTTGGTGGTGGAGCCTGAATTTGGGATTGATCTCCTGGTTACAAGGCTTTGATCAAGCCAGAATATGTATGGGAAGAACTTTTAAGTTTAATTCCGTTGATTATAGAGTCATCCTAATGAGCTGGAATTCAACGGATCTATTTACATATATTCCCTGTACTATTATAAATAAAAGAACTTTGTTAGGTTTGTCACAACCGTCTTTCGGTTGGGCCCCAGAACTGGGTATTGACTTGGATTAAACGAATTGGAGTCGCCACCGATCATTTATTTTAAACAAAATGGGTTGACCGGATACCTTATTTCTTACTTGGTCTGCGTCTTACCAGAAATATGTCAGATTCGGGAGTCGGTTACAGTCAATGAAGGGTTAGCACCCTTCAACTGCCCTTTCGGTACTACGTAATTTCCAGTTGTCTTAAATTAAGAAAATTGTAATTTAAATTAAAAGGTAAAATATCGATCCAAGTTACTTACCTTTGATAAATTGAAATACCTTTAAAAGATAAAAATGTTAGATTCGTAGTGGAGTATAAAATCGAATTAAGAAAACAAGTGCACAAATAAAATAATAAACAAAACAAGAAAAAGGATAAAAAATAGAACAAGTAAAAAAATAATAATAAAAACAAAATAAATAAAATGGTAAGAAACAAAGATAAAGGAGAAAAAATTAATGGAATAAAAAACAAGAAAAAAAAGTAAAAAAAATTAGAAAATGAGTAAAAATAATGTGTGTATATATAATGTTAGGGGAAAAAATAAACGAAAGCAAAATAAAGAAAATAATAAAGAAATCAAAATAAAGGGAAGTCCCCACTATATTAATGCACCGAAGACAAAAAAAATCAAAGTCAAAAAGAGGGGACATGGGGGCCTAGGAAGAAAAAATGTGAGGAAGAAATTATATATAACGTTGGTATTAGGATATTAGTGAAAAAAAATACAAATAAAATATGTGTATATATACATAATATAAAATATCTAAAAATATGAGAAAAATATATATATAAAAATAATATATAAGGAAAAAGTCCCAAAAAATATAAAAATAAAATAAAAATAAAAAATATATATAATATGATGTAATAAAAATGGTCAAAATAAAAATAATTAAAAAAATTAAAAGTATATATATATAACGATAGAATATAAAAAAAGAATAACCAAATGAAAATAATTAAATATATATATATATATATACGTAATAATAAGAATGAAAAATATCCATGTAATAAATAAATGACTAATATAAAAGAAAAACTAAAATTGGGGCCAAATTTGAAAGACAATTAACGTTGGTATTGTGCATTAGGGGGCAAAATTAAATGTTTTAAACATCAGAGGGACCAAAAGAATAGTTTACCCCTTTTTAAAGACAAAACACGCGGACCCTTCCGTATCTGGGTCGGGTCGGGCGGCCTGATGGTTTTGGTATAAGCCATTTTTTTTAAAACTTCATTCTTCTCTCAAAATCATAACCCTCCCTTTTCTCTCATTTTGCTCTCAAGTGTTCTTGAGATATCAAGAACATAGCCGTGGGTCAGACCAAACCCAGAAACCGGCCACCGTGCGCCATCTCTCCGTCGCCGTTGACTGGCGCCGGCCACCGGTTATCGGCGGCGAAACTTAAAAAAAATTACTTTTTCAAACGCTCTTTCCCTCCCCGTTTTAAAAATGAGTTTCGTTTTTGCAAGGTGGCCTCAGGGGAGGCTAGATATGGGTTTTAAAATCTCGAACCGTCCCCTAGAGTTCATCGGCCGAACCCTCTTGGTGTTGTTTCTTTTGGGTTTCAATCGAAGCGAGATAGTATGCATGCAATGAAGGCCAACCGAAACGAAAGGTAAAAAAAATATACCTCTTTTTATTTCCTGTTTCGAAGTGCTTCGAATGCTTTTACAGCGCTTGAGTTTTGTGTATTTTTTGTGCTTAATCCTCGTGTGTAAAATTGTGTAATGTTGTGTGTGGATCTCGTGTCTCCTGTAAAAACAGTGTCTATTTCGTGTCTCTCCCCCTACATCGTTTGATTACATCTCATTTATAGGGCTTCGAATACCCTATTTTTAGGTGTTTAAATCCTAACAAAACACTAACACTTGTGCTTGTTTTCTTGTTGGACTGTTCCGAGGAAACCGACGTGAAGCTCGGGTTGCTGGAGGGCCGGATCATGCGGCTGTGGAAGTCTCGGTCACGAGTGATGAGTCATTGCGGCGCTGGGATGATGCTAGGGTTTCCAAAAACAATAGCGTACTGATGTGGGTCGAGTGTTTCATTTGCTAGGCCACAGGTTATTGATTGTTGGGCCTTGTCCCTGATTTGTTGGTCTTGGACCTGTACAACAAATAAATATATATATATATATATATATATATATATATATATATATATATATATATATATATATAATCAGTATAATGTGTAAAATATATATAACAGAAATGACGTGTCTACAGCTGCCCCTCTTTGCTCATTTTCGTGTAACGGAAATAGAGCAAAGATTAAAAGACACAGATTTCGTCCGTATCGAATGCCCTCTTTCGTAGAGTTGAACTCCGACATGAAGATAGGTTTGCTAATCTGAACTGAAATATGAAATGACTCCCTCGTCGTGAGGTTGAGTCGGACTGGAAAATTCTGAGCATGAAATCCTTCGTCGTGAAGTTAAAATCGAACTCAGAGTATTAGGAAGTAGTTCCTAGACTCCACCATGTAGTTGACGCGGCATCGAGCTGAATAGAATCAAACTCGTCAGTTTTGATATGTAGCCCTTCTTGCCTCGAGCTATGATATAAATTTGATTTGCCTCTGATTTGAATGACATGATTCAGATGATGCTTCAAGAGAAGTTATCTCAAAAGAGAAAGAATTCATTTCAAGGGAAACGATCTCAAAGATATTTGTTGTTTCATGAGAAACGGTCTCAAGGTAAACAAAATTTTGTTTTAAGGGAAATAAATTCAAAGATTTTGTGTTTCAAGAGAAACTGTCTCAAGGGAGACAAAATTTTCAAGAGAAACTGTCTCGAGAGAGACGAAATTTGTTTAAAGGAAAATAGATTAAAAGATTTTGTTTCAAGAGAGACAAAAAATTGTTTCAAGGGAAACTGTCTCAAGAGAGACAAAATTTGTTTCAAGTTGGGTCAATCTATTTGTGAAGTTAGAATCGTATATGGCCCATTCGTCGTGAAGTTGAGCCTGAGAATTGGATATCATTCGTCGTGAAGTTGAAATCCAATGTAAGTTTCGTTGTTTCGAGGCCAATATCCTCCGCCGTGAAGTTGAATTTGACTCTGAAACTGGAAAGTTTATTGACAGCCACTCCTTTCTTGAGTTGGATATCATTCGTTGTGAAGTTGAAATCCAATCTAGAGATGGATACTGCTTGTGTGTACGATTCCCTTCGTCGTGAAGTTGAAACTGCGGGTGGCCCATTCGTCATTAAGTTGAGCCTGAGAATTGGATATCCTTCGTCGTGAAGTTGAAATCCAAGTAAGTTGTATTGCTCTGAGTCCAATATCCTCCGCCGTGAAGTTGAAATTGGTTCTGGAACTGGGAAATTGTTTGTTGACAGTCAGTCGCCCCTTCGCTGTGAAGTTGAGCTTGTGTTGTCTTGAGTCTAATATCCTTCGTCCTGAAGTTGAAATTGACTATGAATGAATTTGACAATCAGCCACCCCTTCGTCGTGAAGTTGAGCTTGTGTTGTCTTGGGTCCAATATCCTTCGCTGTGAAGTTGAAATTGGCTCTGAAATTGGGAAGTTGTTTGTTGACAGTCAGCCGCCCCTTCGCTGTGAAGTTGAGCTTGTGTTGTCTTGAGTCCAATATCATTCGTTGTGAAGTTGAAATTGGCTCTGAAATTGGGAAGTTAACAGTCAGCCGCCCCTTTGCTGTGAAGTTGAGCTTGTGCTGTCTTGAGTCCAATATCCTTCGTTGTAAAGTTGAAATTGGCTCTGAAATTGGGAAGTTGTTTGTTGACTGTCAGCAGCCCCTTCGCTGTGAAGTTGAGCTTGTGCTGTTTTGAGTCCAATATTCTTCATTGTGAAGTTGAAATTGGCTCTGAAATTGGGAAGTTGACAGTCAGCCGCCCATTCGCTGTGAAGTTGAGCTTGTGCTGTCTTGAGTCCAATATCCTTCGTTGTGAAGTTGAAATTGGCTCTGAAATTGGGAAGTTGTTTGTTGACAGTCAGCCGCCCCTTCGCTGTGAAGTTGAGCTTGTGCTGTCTTGAGTCCAATATCCTTCGTTGTGAAGTTAAAATTGGCTCTGAAATTGGGATGTTGACAGTCAGCCGTCCCTTCGCTGTGAAGTTGAGCTTGTGCTATCTTAAGTCCAATATCCTTCGAGGTGAAGTTAAAATTGGCTCTCAAATTGGGAAGCCCCTTCTTTGTGAAGTTGAGCCTCAAATGGCACGATATCCTCCGTCGTGGAGTTGAAATCGTGGGTGGCCCCTTCGTCGTGAAGTTGAGCCTTGACTTGAATATCCTTCGTTGTGAAGTTGAAATCCAAGTAGTGTATGTTGCGGGTGGACACGATTCCCTTCGCTGTGAAGTTGAAACCGTGGCTGACCCCCTTTATTGTGAAGTTTGGTCTTCGAGCTAGATATCTTTCGTCATGAAGTTGAAATCTACTCTCGAGCAAATTGTGTCATTCTGAGCTCAATATCCTTCGCTGCGAAGTTAAAATTGACTCTAGCATGAATCTGCAAAATTATGCACATATGCGATGCTATAGATGCAATGCTCTTATGTATGCCTAAAATGTATATGCAAAACATGTTATTTTAGGGTTTGGATAGAAATCTCAATCCGTTGTTGTCAGCCTTGATGACTCTTGATGCTAGAATCTTGAATTTCTGATTCTTGATCTTGGATTCTTCAATATGCTTAAAACAGAATGTTGATCTGTGAAGGGAATAATTGCGTGAGCAATCTTCATTCCATTTCTGACCCAGTTTGTCTTTATTTCCACCAGGGTGTACTCTTGCAAGCCTCAGCCTAAGACAATTTGTCTTCCTTCCCCTATCAAATTTTACCCCCAAAAAATTTGGCTTCTCCTGCCCTAGTTTCAATCTTGAGCTTCAGAGAGATATTCGTTGATTTCCAAGACATGCTTCCAGAAAACTCATCTTGTTTGAAAATATTTTTCTTCCTTTGAATTTTCAAAATTTTGAAAAATACCAAAAGTAGTTTTGGAAAATATTATCTCCTTCTAGGTTTCAGAATTGA